CCCCTGTGAACCATCTGGTCCTGGGCTTTTGTTTGCTGGAAGTTTTTTGATTACTGCTTCAATTTCCTTCATAGTTATCAGCCTATTCAGATGTTTTGATTCCTTCTGGCTGAGTTTTGGAAGGTCATATTTTTCTAGGAATATGTCCATTTCTTCTAGCTTGACCAATTTGTTGGAATAGAGTTGCTCATAGTTTTTTTTTTTTTTAATGATTCTTTGTATTTCTGGGGGGGCTGTTGTTATTCCACCTCTTTTATTTCTGATTTTATTTGGGTCCTCTCTTTTTGCTTCTTGGTGAGCCTGGCTAGAGGTTCATCAATCTTGTTTATCCTTTCAAAGAACCAGCTATTGGCTTCATTGATCTTTTGCACTTTTTTGTCTCTATGTCATTTATTTCTGCTCTGATCTTTATTATTTCCTTCCTTCTGCTTACTCTGGGATTTTCTTGTTGCTTCCTTTTGAATCCTTCAAGTTGTAGAGTTATATGGTTTATTACCATTTTTTCTTGTTTTTTGAGGTAAGCCTGTAATGCTATGAACTTTCCTCTCAGGATTGCTATCGCTGTGTCCCAAAGATTTTGGATTTTTCTGTTTTCATTGTCATTTGTTTCCAGGATGTTTTTTATTTCTTCTTTGATCTCTTTGGTAACCCACTCATTGTTTAATAGTATGCTATTCAGCCTCCAAGTGTTTGAATTTTTGTGATTGTTTTTACTGTTGTTGATTTCTAATTTTATGCATTGTGATCTGAGAAGATACTTGATATGATTTCAATCCCCTTGAATTTGGAGAGACTTTGCCTGTGTCCCAATATGTGGTCTTTTTTGAAAATGTGCACTTGAGAAGAATGTATATTCTATAGTTTTGGGGTAGAATGTTCTATAGATGTTGATTAAGTCCATTTGATCTAGTGAATCATTTAGGATCGAAGTTTCTTTGCTAATTTTTTGTCTAAAGGATTTATCTCGTAATGTTAATGGGGTATTAAAGTCTCTTACTATGATTGTATTGCTGTCAATGTCTTCCCTGATATCTTCTAGAAGTATTTTTAATATATTTTATTGATTTTTCACAGAGAGGAAGGGAGAGGGATAGAGAGTTATAAACATTGATGAGAGAGAAACATCAATCATCTGCCTCCTGCACACTCCCTACTGGGTATGTGCCCACAACCAAGGTACATGCCCTTGACCAGAATCGAACCTGGGACCCTTGAGTCCTCAGGCCAACTCTCTATCCACTGAGCCAAACCAGCTAGGGCTAGAAGTATTTTTTATGTATTTGGGTGCTTCTGCATTGGGCTCAATGTTTACCAGATTATATCCTCTTGTTGTATTGATCCCTTTAGAATTATGAAGTGGCCTTCCTTGTCTCTTGTTATGGTCTTCACTTTGAAGTCTACTTTGTCAGATACAAGTATTGCTACCCCCGGTTTTTTTCATTTCTATTTGCCTGATAGATATTTTTCCATCCCTTCACTTTCAGTCTGTGTGAGTCATTTGTTCTGAGGGCAGTCTCCTGTAGACAGCATATATATAGGTCATGTTTTCTTATCAATTCAGTCACTCGATGTCTTTTGATTGGAGCATTTCATCCATTTACATTTAATGTTATTATTGATAGGTACTTGTTTGTAGCCATTTCTGTACTTTATGCCTGTGTTCCTTCCTCCCTTCCTATGTCTTCTTTTCCCAGCATTTTCTTTAGCATTTCTTTTTTTTTTTTTTGGATGTTTTTTTTTTAATTGCTTAAAGTATTACAAAGGGTATTACATATGTGTCATTTTTCCCCCGCCCTTAACTATCCCCTGGCCTCCCCCACCCCCCAACGCCCCATGTCCATTGGTTATGCATATATGCATGCATACAAGTCCTTCGGTTGATCTCTTATACCCCTCCCTCCTGCCCCCCAAGTTTCCCCGGCCTTCCCACTGCAGTTTGACAATCTGTTCGAGGCAGCTCTGCCTCTGTATCTATTACTGTTCAAAAGTTTATAATGGTCTCTATTATCCATGAATGAGTGAGATCATGTGGTATTTTTCCTTCATTGACTGGCTTATTTCACTTAGCATAATGCTCTCCAGTTCCATCCATGCCGTTGCAA